ATCCTTCTACAATTTTGGTTTGATTTCAATATAACTTATCACACAAGTAGACTACACTAAGATACTTAATTCTGTGCATCGGTTTTTGATCAGTACAAACCAGTAGAGCTACAGTCTCGACAGAGACTTCTGGTTTTTAAGGGAATGGGGTGGGTGAGTTCTTACTTTTTAGCAACCAAATTTTATTAATATATTACAACATTAACATGATTAAACTATTCTGCAAAAAAGTTAAGGAGGGAAAACAGTCTTTCTCTGTGAATAATTTCAGCACCTAAAAGTTACGTAACTTACGTTATGAAAAAGGGGGGGGGCAAAGACCACCCCACCCATCCCCATCAAACACATTTTACGTGCCTGTTTTTGTAATCATTATCCTTCCACATTGAAAACTTTTGAAATCAAGCAATCAAATCAATCATGCACACATAAACAAAAAATAAATATACGATTTCCCTATACTCGTGTTTGCTAGCTCGCTGATCTGAAAAAAAAATGGGATGAATGACCTTTCTGGTCTTTCATCCCATTTTTTTATTCTGACCAGCGATCTATACAGATCTGCAGCTACTTGTTGACATTATAGATTCGTTTACTGGTTGAGTGCAGAAATGTGAAATTTTAATACAAGCAAATCCCACGCATATGTAACAGCCACGTAGCATCGTTTTTGAAGGGGGGGGGGGGGGGAGCCAGAGAATTTTTTTTTTACTTACCAGAAAAAGTAGACAAAAAAAAGAGGAAAGTTGGCCAAAGTCGAAAATCCTATTTCGTGGGGGGGAATTTTTTTTCAGTGCCACCTTCTTTCAGTACCAATTTATACAACATTTTCATTATGCCACAAAAAGTTGGAGGGGGTGGCAACCAGCCTTTCAATGAACATTTACTACAGTATAAGTAATGTTGGGAAAAAAGTGGCCTCCCCCCCCCCTGTTGCTACGTGCATGTGTAAACAGCTGCATTTGCCTCTCCTATTTCAAAATTAGAGAACAATTTAAGATTCAAAATAATCAAGTTTTTCCCTTTTTAACTCATCGATTTCAAATATAAAAATTATGTCGATCTTTAGTAAAACATACTTTTTATTTCATAAAAATGTTGTGCACAGCTGTTTCATTTTTTCTGATCTTCCTGAAAAACGATGAAACAGGAAAATCATAAACTGACTTGGAAATAAATCATTAAATTTTTTTTTTTGGATTTTAAAAACGTTTAAAAAAATTAGAATATATCATCTTTTACATTTTGTATGCTTTAATAAAATGTTAATTATTTTTATCTGACTGGGTTAATTACTGAATGACGAGGCATACAGAAGTTTGATTCTGGATCAAATAAAAATTTATTGTTTTCACTACCTAGTTTTACATTTTTAATTAACAAGAAAAAGGAATTTTCATTTACGAAACAATATTACTACGGTCACATGTACTTAGTATATGACTACTACAGAACTGGGGCCTTAATTGTGTGTTGGGGTGGTGTCTTCCCCCAAAAAATTATTAAAATAGAAAATTTGGTGTTATGACACCAAATTTTCTATTTTAATAAAAATTTGTGGGAAGACAGTGGGGTGCGGTGCAAAGGAGAGGGGATGGAGGTACATGTATCTCGCCATTTTTGTCTAAAAAGGATAAGTTATTTAAAACTTATATTGCATTTATTTTTTGAGGAGATATTTACGTACAGTTTTGTCCATTAATTGTTAATAATTACCGGTATGTAGTGTGTCCTTAGGAGAGAGAGAGAGAGAGAGAGAGAGAGAGAGAGAGAGAGAGAGAGAGAGAGAGAGAGAGAGAGAGAGAGAGAGAGAGAGAGAGAGAGAGAGAGAGAGAGAGAGAGAGAGAGAGAGAGAGAGAGAGAGAGAGAGAGAGAGAGAGAGAGAGAGAGAGAGAGAGATTTTTTACAATGATTGATTTTGATTGAGATTTTTTACAATGATTATATTGTCAAGAAAAACGATTTTGCTGCCTTGATGTTGTAATAAAAATATTGAATATTATATTAAATAGTCATAAATTCGAATTCTGGCCCCTCTTGGCCCTTTATATGAAGGCCCAGCACTTTTTTCTTCAAATCATCTTAAAGATCTCAGGTTTTTTAACTCTTTTTGTTCAACAGTTGTTCAGAGATTGATTTTCGTTTTCGAGTTATTGGCAAAAGAAATATTTAGGGACCAACCCTTCAACTCCTTAATGGGGACGTTTAGCGTAAAATAAAAGGTTGCATATTGTTTCGAGCATTATTTTGAACATCTTTTGTTCAAAATTACTTATCCAAATATTTCTAACTTTCGAGATATGAAGCCTCAAAGATTAAGCCTCCTAGCCCCTTGTGTCCCCTAATTATGTACCATACGAAATAAAATTATTATATATAGTTGTAGATTGTTGAGATAAACATTTTTGCTTCAGTAGTGTTTTACAAAATATTAACTCATAAAGAATTATCCATTGAAGAATTTAGGCCCCTCTTGGCCCCTAATTTGAGTGCCCAGCCCCTTTTTCTTGATTTCATTTTAAAGCTCTATGGATTTTGAACACTTTTTGTTCAAAAACTATTCTGAGATTCTTTTTCGTTTTGGAGTTATTTGCAAAAGAAATATTTAGGGATCAACCCTTCAACTCCCTAATGCTTAGCGAAAAATGAAAGGTTGCATATTGTTCAGAACATGATTTTGAACATCTTTTGTTCAATATTACTTATCAAAATTTTTCTTACCTTGGAGATATAAAGCGTCAACGATTTAGCATTCTGGCCCCTTGTGGCCCCGAATTATGACCCATTCGACATAAAAATCATAATATATTGTTGTACATTGTTAAGATTAACATTTTTGCTTCAGTAATGTATAACAAAATATTGACTTTGAAAGAGTTATTGACTAAAAACTGTTGGCCCCTTAGCTTTCAGCCCTTAATTTGGTGAGTCAGCACATTTTTCTTGATATCATATCAAAGATCTTTATATTTTGCACAAATGTTGTTCAGTATGTTCTAACAAAATAATTATATTTTAAAAGATATGATGCAAAATGTCTCAAAAAATCACTCGTAATTCGTGTCCTAAATTTTGACCCCTACAGAGCTTCCATACTAGGCACTTTCGGGAAATATCCTGACCATGTTGCGACATGGCAACATGTCCTCTATCATCACTAAAAATTTCAGCTTTCTAGCTTGAGCCGTTTTTGAGTTCCATCACAGACAAGGAGGTACTCTAAATTTCTATCAAAGGGCGATAACTTCCGACCGGAAGTAAATTTCAAAAACATGATTTGCCGGAATTAACTTCAGATGACATCGCATCGACCGTGAAAATTTGAAGCAAATCGAACGAGCCATCTCCGAGAAATCTTCTGCACAAATTTTGTAAGAAGAAAAAAAGAATAAAAAGAAAAAAGGTAAAAAAGAAACCGAAGAATAATAGAAGAGTCTTCCGCTGAAGACGGAAGACCCTAATAAATAAATAAATAAATAAATAAATAAATAAATAAATAAATAAATAAATGAATGAATGAATGAATGAATGAATGAATGAATGAATGAATGAATAAATAAATAAATAAACAAATAAATTAAATAAATTAAATAAAAGAAAAATGGTCCAAACTCGAAAATTCTATTTTGAGGGGAGGGGATCTTTGAGTAACAATTAAGGAATGTTTTTAAGTTGTGTGTGAGTTATTGGTGTGTGAATCACACAGACTTGTCACGTACAAATGTAGGCATAATTCATGAAGCGCTAAAAATATGCCTACGTGCAAGTCTGTGTGATTCTCACACCATAATTCACACTAAACTTAAAAACATTCATTATATTTACATTTTACATGTTTTGAAGCACCAAAATTATACTCAATATTTAAATTTCTCGCCGTCCTATATCGTTGTACTTTTACTATCGTCGCTGTAGCTTTATTGTGACGTCACGTTAACGTACGTTTCTCCGTGTATATTTCTACTCGTGAGTATAACACGAAAATGGTATTAATTCAAATCAATTTCACAGTTGGCTTAGTAGAAAAACACACAGAATGAAAATATATATAAATATTTATTTGAAAATACATTTTAAATCATTCAATATGCAGATAAAGATCAGCTCATTACTTTCTGACTCTAGAGCAGACGCCAAACAACTGAACACTAGAGTATTGAAGGCTTCGCTAGGTGCTACATTGTATGATTATGACGTGAATTTCATTGTGACGTCATAGTTACTCCGTGACTCTAGAGCAGACGCCAGGTGCTATGATTATGACGTTAAATTCATTGTGACGTCATAATTAACTAAATCCAGATATTTTGCAAAATAAATTACATAAGCACTATGTCTAAGTACATAGGCCTGCCTCTTTTGTTTAAATTTATGCAAATTTGTATAATGTAACTCTACATTAATAAAATTCACGTAACTAACCTAAATATATCAACGATAAATGTTAATGCCATTAAAATAATTTTTTCGATATGACTTATAAGTTAATACAATATATAATAAAATATATCATATAATCAATATTTGAGATATTAAGCAGGAGATTCGTTTAATCAACAGCACACTCGTGCATGCGTCGGTATACCTGCATTATTCATATTTTGTTTATCTGTATAAAATAATGGTTGTTTTCTTTTGCGCTTTTCTATCAATGGTTTATCGATATATCTTATCGTAACGGAATCTTTATCTCGCCCACACGTTTTACACTTCTTACTTTAATATACACAAGGCATTTATTAAAACCGTAGAAATCAATTTTGATATTTTTTGCACAATTTTTCTTTTTTTAACATGAGAGTTGATCCGCGCCAGCTGGTCTGACAAACGTAACTAGAACTTAGTATGGATATTTCCTCTACAAATCCGCTAAAAACTTCTTATCCCCGATAAACTAAAAGAGTTCGGTTCGACGACCGCATTTTCTTGTTTGTGTTCCATTCCAATAACATTGGCGTAGGGGTTGCGGCTTGCAAGGTGTGCTTCGGTTCAATAAATGTATTCATGCCCGGATCCAAACACATTACGTACAAGAGAAGCACGAAGATTCTCCCCAATGTATTTGCTTGAATGGCGTGTATGTATTTATGTAGCCTCGTACTGTACGCGCTAGCGGAAGGATTAACCGCTACCAGGGGTATGTACCATAAAGCATTCACAATTTTTCGTGTAATCGCCATTTTTTATCCAAGCTACATAGGTTGACCTCGCGATCACAAAAAAACCAATATGGCCGATCAGCCTATGGCCAACTAAGTTCACGGGGTCTTTTACCTCGCTCAAAGTGACCAGGGAATTTAATTCCTTGAGAAACCTGACCTTAAACCTACTTTATTTCGTTTTCATATAACGTTGCAGCATGTCTTCGTTTGTTTCTGTTTTGAAACAACGTGCATCGCGGTTTGTTTTGATTTTTTTCGCTCGCATGTTTTTGCTGTGTATTCAATGAATAAAAAAATGTGTTGAGGCCCACGACGGGGGTCAGAATATTTTAAGATTCTTTTTACATTAATGATGTTATGTAATGATTTGGCATTGATTTAAGAATACTCAATTAGTATTATTATCATTCATTTGGCTTATTTTGGTAATAAATATTGAAAAATAATCTCAAGAAAAGACAGCGCGATGGAAGAATCGATGTTGTTTAAAAAAAGTCATTGACCTCGGAGATGAAAAGATAACTCAAGCAACATGCATTGTGTTAATTTACAAGTAGTTCATGAATTGACAGTTTAATACAGTAGCCCTAATGTTGTTTATATAGATGAAATTACAAACTACCTTTTTTTACTGGAATAAATACATTATTAATTCATGTTACGTGAATAATGGCATGGTGACCCGATTATGTATAGGGCCAGGAAAGGGCAGCCATTTTGCGTATTCTTCGTAAACAAATTGTACTGGATATTCTATACTTGTTTTATTTTTCTAACATATTTTTTTTGCAATATTGCATGAAATGTAGGTGTTGTCATTTTCATCTTCATTGTTTTAAATAATAAGGATATGATTTTAAAAAATGTAATCTAATTTTTTTTATCCCAATAATGTTTTTCATTCAAATAATATATTTTTCAGATAACATATCTTCTAATCATAATTTTATGAAGTTAAAATTTTTATTTTGAAGTGGTGTATTTTTTTTTTAAATTCAATTGAATTAACTTTTGATAAAAATGTCACACACATTGTGCCATGTAGATTTTTTTAAATTAGCCTACCTACACATTAAGCTTTATTATGAGCATCTGTGAGTAAAAAAAAGTTAACCATTAAGCATGTTTACTTAGTTATAAATGTTTGCATAAAATTCATGCTATTCAGGTCGATATCCACGACCCAACCCATTACATTCCACCCTCCTTAAATGGTCTTCGCCCTCAAAGACACAACCCAAGTTCTTATTGCCCCTGGCGGGACTTTCACCTGCAATTCCAGGGGTGGTCAACGGCACCAAATCTGTAACAGGAAGGGAGAAAATGTATGGCTGGACCGGGAATCAAACCTGGGACCCCTGCATCTCCAGTCAGGTGCTCTACCAACTGAGTTATCCAGGCCGATATCCACAGCCCAAAACCATTACAATAGTAATGAAAAGTCTATCTTAATTGTTTCTGCCCATTGGGAACATGACAATCTGTTAGGTCTTACATAAGTTTTTTAACATGTTCAAGTAAGGCAATAATAAATATTTTCTTGCACTCTATTGCAATGCATGGAATTTATCATGTAAATGTAGAAAAAGCACAGTATTCAAGTTCAAAAGTCCATTTTTGAAGCAGAGCAAACAAGGACCTCTAAAACATCAGAGGTGGGATCAGGTGCCATAGAGGAATGAGCATCCCCTGCAGACCTGTCACACCCGCCATGTGCACCTTGTCATGATCAGGAAATAACAGAAAAATCTGTTGACAGTATAAATTGATGATACAAACTGTGCATTGAGAGTCCTGCCCAATAATCTGATAATGTATCCCTGTATCATTACATTTTTTTTGTCACAATATTCATATTAAGCTCTTTTTTTGATTTATGGGCAATGCAGTGATCTCTTTACCAATCTTTTGATTAAGTCTCTCTGTGAAAGGGAGGTATGTTGATTTCAGTGGTTTTAATTACAGTCTACAATTTAATTATTTCTGGGTTTTTTTTTTTACTACTTACAAAGTATTTGTTTTCATTTGCAGATTACTATAAAACACAACATCCTTGGTCATTACCATATCTCTCGTAACTATACCCATAAACCTTGGTCTAATTAAAAAAGAAATGTATCTTTGATGAATACTTAATCATATACCTGAAACCAATTAATTATCTGTACCAGGATGGGCAAAAGACTAAAAAGTATGTTTATGGGTTTGTGGAAATCGAAGGAAAGGCTTTCCTCATTGAAGAATTCCTCAGGCCAAGATAAATAAATTGTGTGTTTCCTATTTCCAACCTGTCAGTGAGATAAAAATAGGGTAGGTAGGGAAAATGTTTTATTGGCATGCAGGCTGTCATTTTTTTTTCCAGGAAAATCGCGGTCAAAAGATTTCTGATTAATATTTGATATACATTTTTTCAAAGGAGGAAGGGATCAAGATTAGGATTTCTTATAGTAAAACTAGAAGAGTTTACTCCGGGAAAGATATTAGCAGAAAAATATTACAGGGTCGGCTCCTGTATTTAAAGATGGGTCGGGAAACTGGAAACATGCAATTTATTTACCGAAGCCTTATTGAATGTTGGAGGTTATTGCTCTGGAAGAAGGATGGGGAAGGCGTGGGTAGTGTTGATGATAATAGTGGTTATTCCTAAGGTCAAAGGGGGGTCACAGAAGGTCACAAGAGGGTTACAGAAGGTCAAGTCATAAACAGATGTTTATAGATATAACATGTGAGGAGAGTGCATTAATTAAAAAGGATGGAGCTGAATGATTAAATATATAATATATACTACTGTTATTGTTTGGCTAATTCTGTGAACCACCTTTATTTAATATCACTCAGGTTGATACTAGGTACTGGGGTATTGCAACATCAAGATATAACTAATGTTTTCTGTATTTTTTTCATTGAAATAGTCAGTTCACAAATAATTTTTCAAACAACCCTTGCAGAAATTATTCCTGACTTGAAAATGCTTCTCAGGAATTCCTAAGATGTCCTAAGAATTCCTAAGATTTCCTCACAATCTGATTTGAGGAAATCCTTGGAGTAACAATCCTGGGATTTGATTTCAGGACATCCTAGGATCTCCCAGGACTTTTTGTTAAACATTTCAAATCCAAATCTTGCCAGGACATTTCATTGTAAAGCCAGGAGTTAATCATTTTTAAGATAATCCCATTTCCTAAGACTTTTGACTTAAACTTTTGTAAAATAGACAAATTAAACTTTACAAACTTGTACATGTTAATATATGTTAAAACAGAATGACAGGAAATTTTATTACTTTTAAAGTTTTAATGTATAATATCAAGAAAATCATAAAATGAATAATTTTCAATCATTACATATTATACTTGATACATAGAAAGACACTGACCCTAGAACTATTTTTTAAATTAAATACTTTCTGAAATATTGATGCTGTCAGGGAGGAGTTATACATGTATAAATATGTTTTTAAAAAAAAATTGTTTACAGACAAACAATATTTCACCATTTTCAAATCACACATTTCTGAGTTGATTTTTATCCATTAGAATTAAATTCTACACTTAATCTTTAGATTGCTTCGTTCATGGACACAACTGAGTGCAAGCATAGTTTTTTTTTTGAAAGCACTGGTCATACAAACTTGGCCATCTTGCAATACAACATCAAGTATTAATACAACAGAAGGATGGAGTGGTAAATTTTCTTCATCTGTCAATTTAATTTTTCACTTCGCAGGACAAAATAAAACATATTTTCCTCAAGCACGTATAAGAAATGGCTCTCCTATACCGTCATCACCTGCATACACGTTATATATCTCTCAAGTGGTTACCAAACTATCAGCTTCAAAGTTACATGCCTGGCTAGAAGTATCTTTTTTTTGTATCTTCTTCTTTATCAGTGTCATTTGGTTCATCAAACTGTCTTTGACTTTACTATCTTTAACATCTTCATCCAAATCTGTATGATTTCGGTATATTCACCCATAACTGCCAGAGAGACTATACAAAAGAAAAGTAATTATTGAGTCATTGAAATTGGTAATACACAAATTTAAGTATGCAACAATATTCCATGACTTGGTCTGTGACATCATACTTTATCACTTTATGACTTAAAAAGCTTGGTAAAAATAAAATTTTATCAGAGTTTATTATAATTCCTCACTGTTTTTGATATTGAGTATTGCTTTTATTTAACGAGGAAAATCAAAAAAACGCAGTAAAACTTTTTTTGAAAATTTTATCCACATAAACAAAGATCAAAAAAAACTTTGAAAAGGTTTTGTCATCGTAACATAACTATTTAATACGATAAAAATGCGCTTTTCCTATAGTTTTATAGCCAGATATACTAATTTTCATTCATCACTTAGCAATAAGATACTTACAGACATCGTGACAGGCTTGTAATGTAGAAAAGTCGTTGTTTACAGCACATGTGACAACTTCACGATCCGCCATATTTGTGTTTGGACGGTTTCCATGCAAATTGATCTTGGCCTAAATGTATCATTGTGGTTTCTTCTGTAACACTTTCTGTGAGTAGATTGGTTGATCAAGGATATTTATTTTTTATTTTTCTAATATGCAGGTCGTTTGTCACTGAAAATAAAGACGTGTTTTTTTAAACAAATCCGGGAAAATGTCGGGATATTTCTTAAAGGTTTTTCCCTACACCGTGTTGCGCGCGAACTTCCGAGAGGTGGTAAAAAAAGTGATCTTACAATTGGTACCCGGTGTATAAAATATATTTTACTGTCAACTTAGCTTTGAATATTAATTTGTCAGAAAATTTTGGCTAAAATATATTTTCTTTTTGTAAAAAAAAAAAAACGTAAATTCACATTAATCACAAATTATTTTCAAGAATGAACAAACCGCATTTTCTTGGTGTGGCACGAAATAACTTTACACCGTCCTGTATCATCCTCTCGCGAGACTTCGTCGAGAAGCGCAAAATAGGAGTTCAAGGAGCGGCAATA